AATGCTGGATAGTGTTTAATTTTATCAAATATTAAATTTATTACAACGCTAATTATTTTTTAGAGTTCAAAAGAGTGATAAACTGTATTTTATGTTAAAGTATGTTTTAAAGAGAATTGTAAGAGCTTTCAAAAGAAATATTACTCAACCCCCAACGCCATTTAAATATTTTGGGGTGATGCTTACCCTTGCTTGGGGGTGAAAGTAGCGGAGTCAAAAATACCAGCAAAGAATGTCCCCCTTTAATCTAAAATCGACGGGCCAGAGTGTTTTTCTACAATATTGACGCAATTCCTGAAAATGGCTCTGTTTAGTTTTCATTTGGCCACCCTGTATATTATCAAGAAATTCAGTATTAAGTTTTGTAAAGTACAAGGTAGACTAAAACCGAAATACAAGAGATTTTTAGATGCGCAAATAGTGACAGTTAAGAAACAACTGATTTCTTATATCAAACCAAATGGATTTTGGTTCAGAGCTAAATAGTAACAATTGCCAAGAAGTGGTGATTCTTGCAATCGATTTATTGAGATCTAACCCCCATTAAAAATAAGCCTCCAAGTTTATAAACATCCTGTATAAATAATTTTCTACCTAATCAGTTTTTTTATTTCCAATTCATTCAGTCTCTTCTCTTCTATTTTCTCAATTTGATCAAATAATCTTGGTAACTCCTACATAAGTTTGCTATACTTCTAAAGCTTAGTTTATTTAAAGAAATAATTGAGAAATTGTTACTAAATTTAATATCAAAAGGCAGTATTTTGAAAATTCGTGTCATGCACAGCAATATCCATGCCACAACACACAATGCCACTTACGACAGATCAAAATTATAAAAAAACTGGTCTTAATCATACATATTACTGTCCAAAAATTACAAAATTATTACGACTACATTTTTCAAATAGCAAACAGACATCTCGAAATCACCCGAACCGGTCGACTGTACCTTAAAACCTACAAAAAACTGTCACGCATTGTTAGAATAAGAACGAGATCTAGCGTCGAAATCAAAAGTGATTTTCATATTTCGTCATTTTCGCGTCACGGTTTAGCAGGCAGTTGAAATTGCGAGCTTGATATAGAACTGTTATTTAACAAATTGAGCACAGAACACACCTAGCTACGGCAGAAAAAAGTTAAATCATAAATCGTGCTCAGTTGTAGCCGATAATGACTCAATAGGTATTGAAAATTGTCTTATTTCCACTAATGGGGCAATGTTCAGTCATTGAGAATAAATCATGTGGGCTAATTAATGGGTAAAATGTTTCTAGTACTGTTATTACAGCTTTAGATAAGGAGATAAACAAAACAGCTGCAATTAGTTATTTATTAATACCTCACTGTGGCTGTAAATTTAGAACACAGGACGGAGATTTTGAAAAGGAGGCCAATCATTCTTATGTGTACAGGGTGACTTTTAGATGGTTATATTTAATAGTCTTTTTTTTTGTAAATAATTAGGAAATATACGAAAAGCCATATTTAAAATAAAAGTATGTACCTATTTCTTTTTGATAAAAACTTATTGGGAACCACTGACTTCACTGTGGTATTTACGCGTAACTGTACAACGTTGCCACTGTTACATATAATTCTTAAACTCTGTGACTTTTTATTTTAATGATGTATGTAATAATTTTTAGATCATAAGTCAAAGAAATTTTGGAACATCTTCATAGAAATGAGAATGAACTCCTTTTTCCCTTGCCCATTCGTATACTCACTAATAAAGCCGAAAGTTCCAAGAATTTTTTGCTATCTCAAAGTTATGCATAAAAAACAATTGAATGTCGCATAACGTGCACGAATTTCATGGCAATTTTGACTTGTCCATTGTCTATTAAGTTAGCCGAGGTCAGTAAATAAAACAAAATATTGAGCAAATTATAAAAGTAAGTATATGACTTGTGTATATTGTTGTAATGAAAAAAAGAGAGGGCATATCAGAACGACAAATATGCAGAGTGTTCGTATAAAAAAATAGTTTGGTTTGTCTATTTAGCTGTGTTTTATATACAGGGTCGGAAAGTCCCCATGGTTCATCGGCTGTTACGTGGAGCGATAAAGTAAGTCATAGAAATCCGTGCGATAGAGAAGGATGGCTATAATGAAGGCGTTTCATAGTCACCGCCCGTTTCGTCCTTCCACAAATAAGATCCACTTCCACTTGTAATTCAGCGACCGGTGGTCATCTTTGTTTTCGTAGTTTGCCTTTTCTGTAATAGATGTCACTACTTATACAATTCCGACTTCGTATTCCGATATGATAATACAATCCGTTAACAGAGGGCCGCACAATTTGTCTAAGGTGAGGCGCAGCCCTAGAAAGAGTGATGCCAGATCTACAGATTTTTTTTGGAATTGGGGAAATAGGGAATTTTGCTTTATTTCTTAGATTTTTAAGTCATTTTAAAAAGTATACTTAAATAACAATTAAATGAACTTTAAATGCAGCTGAGCACTATACTCCATTTGAATAACTTCTCAGTAGGGGAAACAAGGTCACTAGATTTACAAACAGAGGAATCTACTAGCTACTGTAAAAAGTTTTCTTTGTTACGCGTTGTGCTGCCCTCTGTTAACGGATGGTATTAACATATCGGAATATCGAATTCGAAATTGTATAAGTAGTGACATCTATTAAAGAAAAGCCGAACGACGAAAACAAAGATGATCACCAGTCGCTGAATTACAAGCAGAAGTGAATCTTATTTGTGGAAGGGCGAAACGGGCGGTGACTATGAGACGCCTTCATTATAGCCATCCTTCTCTATTGCACGGATTTCTATGACTTACTTTATCGCTCTCACGTAACGGCCGATGAATCATGGCGACCTTCCGACCCTGTATACTTTTTCTGAGATCATAAGAAAATTTCCTGGAAGACAAAAAAGATAAGATTATGTATATCATTGGCGTTTTTTATTTCACAAATTGTACAAACCAAAACAATATTTGTTCAACTTTCTCCATATTTACACTCACAGTTATTGTGATCCCTTAGCTTTGAGCAATACCAGCAAGAGTACTTTCATTTGGAATATTTCTTTGTCCTTTGTACAAATTTACATATATTATTTTTGCTGTATCTACTCTTTGACTACACAGAAATTACTCTTTAAACATATTTACCATGTCACTAACACCGTCCGCGAGAATAACAAATCGACACGAATACCTGTCAAGGTTAACGCAAAAAGATAACCTTACATGTGGATAGCGGTTCTCAAAATATTGCACCTTTAAAAAATAGTAATATTTCCATTTTTACATTTTTATAGTTACCCTCTATTTTTACCACTTACAATGGACAATTCTATGGCCTACAAGAAGTCCTGACCATACCCCTATGCAGTTTTTGCTGTGGGAGACTCTGATAAAGATAAACAAACCGCTTTCAACCAAAGGTGACTCAACTAATATCATTTATGAGATACAATAATCGATACTTATAAAAAATCAATCATTTCTCCGAACCGGTAGTCAACTGTCTTTTGGTGTGAAAAATGAATGGACCTTGTGGCAATGCCAGATAATCAGTTAGTGTCAATAAGGAGTATCGAAAAAGATAAATCCACCATCTGCCCAAGCAAACAAAAATATTTCTGCCAGTCCTTGAACACTACTGGAAAAGTTCTATAAAATATCAAGGCGTTCTTTATTTAGTTAACGTGTTATATGCAGGCTTACGTAATATGCTATGTGTGTGTATAAAGGTACTCGAGAGGATTTTTACCTTGTCTCTGCTTATCTAAATTTGTTTGACTTTATATATATACCACCCGTAAAAAGTTAGGAGTCTGCAGGGACTCATATTTTTGCTACAACCTATAAATAAAAAAATTCAAAAGTTGGCTATGAATTTAAACGTGAAACTTGACTGTAATGTGCATTTGAATTTGTAATAACACTAAAATGATTGAATTTGTGATAAGATCTTTGTCTTCCTCTTCGTTCTACCGTCTCTAATTTTATTTCTACGTATGCACCCACAAAATAATAACAAAATTTTATATACCTTTGCAATAAAAGTAGTCCAATTTTAATACATGTTAAGAAATGTACCGCTTGTATTAAGAACGCTGTATTCTGAGGTTACGCTATCACCTATTTATCAGGTAGCTTTTTACTAATTTTCTAAATATAATTAAAAGTAGTTTGCATAATAAACCAGACCAGTTCTTATTCTGAGAACCCCCACTGTCTTAGAACGAAGGTTAACAACTGTATCAGTGTCCTTCTCGTATCACTTCCATACCTACAGAAAGAAACAAAGAGCTGGTAGCGAATTTAATACGCCTACTTGATTACTGTATACACTTTTAGAAAATCCAAGCTTATATTTATGCTTTTCTTGAATTAATGTACAATTTCTTCTGCGAAAAACAAATGAAGTTTTGGATGCTTCTTCATGGTTCAATGACCTGTTGTTTTCGTGTGGTTGTTAACATGAAAAACCTAACACACTGTACATCATCGGTTTAAAAATAGTCTCGATAAATCCGAATGATTTTCACGTATTGTGACCATGTTTCTCTTTAACTGAGGAGAGTTATAGACGTTGTTTGGCTTCCTATAAGGCGAGCCTAACAACTGAGGTCAACAATAAAGTAGCGCTTTTTAATCACAGTTGGCTGTTTCCTAATTGGGTAGAAAGTATCAGTACGGCTTTGTGCCAATACTTACCGGCATTGTCTTTGGAATATAAATGTTACTAGTTGCCATTTTGCTGGTACCATAACTATTTAATATTTTAATACACATTTTTCTTCCTATCTCAAAAGCCCCCCCACTTTATGGTTGATAATAAATTAATTTTTAAGGTTTTAAGAGTTGTTTAGTGTTTGAAATATACAGGATTAATCCAATATTTTTATTTCTTTTGTTAAGCCTAAGATTTCCTATACTTAACGATCTCATAGTTTGTATTTCCTACATTTTTGACACTTTTTACTGTTATACCCTGTATAACCGACTTCCTTTTGTTTCAGATACCACGACCAAGATGTAAAATTAGGACTTTAGTATTTATTTGTGTAGTGGTGTTCCTATTAGTACAATTAGCATCTGCAGAAAGAGAAAGAGGTAAGTCTTATTTTAATTATTTGACAGTTACATTGTGAGTAACAGAAATCTTTTTTAAAACATACTTATTTAGAAAAAATAAATAAATATATAAATCTAAGTCGTCACGTTGTTTTAATATTATATACAGTCTGTTTTAGTTTAAGTTATGATTATGATAGTTAATATTATGTTCCTATATACTTCTGGTATACAGTGTGTTAAAAGTTTGACTGCCATTACTTCAACGTAAAATAGATTAAACATGAATCAAGAAAAAAGTTATATATTATATGGACGTAAATGCATCCAGTTATAATACTGGGGAAAAATTTGGCAACAGTGCAAGTAGAATCACTTGAACTATTTCTACACAGCTCACTAACGCGCACAGATTTTTTTATAGTGACTGATAAAAATCTAGAGAAGGTAAAAGATTTCTCAGTTTAAAGATAATCTTGTTAGGCCAATTTTTTTTAGTTAAAAACCGTTTACAAAAATGTATCCTATGGGTGACAATTCTTGAACCTCCTGTAGATGATATGGATACAATACTGTTCTTTTTAAAATACAGATACTCTAATACCAGTTCATTTAATTTCTATTTCAAACGCTAATTCAGATAAAACCAAAACATTTTTCTAAAGAATCATATCAAATAAAGTCGACCAATGTTCATCTGACACCACATACAAGATTCCTAACTGCTATTATTGCGGGAAACAGCTGTTATGTGGACTACATACCTCAACTAGCATTGAATTACATAATCAATACCTAATAAATAGCTAAGTAATAAAAAAAATCTAAAATAAAAACTAAATGTGATATGTCTAGATATAATTAATTCAAAAACACATTTTTCCTGTTTTAAAAGTTTGAAATTAATTCAACCAAATTATAACACATAATATTTTCTACATTCCTTAATTAACCAAATTTATGTACGTCGACGTGGTTATTTTGATAATTTTTTTCGAGAAAAAAAGCCTAATATAATTTTTTTATTATTTCGCCTATTAAAATTATGTCAGCCACATTTCTAATGCACTTTGTAACTTCTGCATATACCTAACACAATCTATGATCTATTGGGAGCAAAGCACTCAGAAAATGTTACGTGTTCCAAGATTTATCAGATCATTCATCGCCGATGTAAGATACAATAGATAATTTGAATACATAATCGAAAATTTGAATAATTTCCAAATAACTTTCGTCAATACAAACTTCCCACGATACGTAACAGATTCATTTGTAGTCTTAGGTCTTAGAGTTTCGCGACATTTTACTTTTACTTTTTTTACTGTTATTTCAAGTGGGAAGTTAAGAACGTAAGCCACCCACTCACGTCATCACCATTTTGAGACATTTTTTTGCAAATCAAGGTCATTTACTTCCAACACTTAGTAGTGGCAGTGACTCAAGAATCTCTCTGTTCCAGCAACGAGAAGAAGACTGCGCAGGCCTGTCAAGTCAGTGTCCCATTCCGTGTCAGTATCCAAAGACCAAGCAGTATCATCTAGCATAAGTAAGTTGAGAAGGACGAGGCCTGGACATAGAAAAGCCCACGACAACGCCGTCAGTTCCTCCAGTCCCAAGAAAGAGAAGGATGGATACAAGGTGGTCTGTTACTACACCAACTGGTCGCAATACAGAGTCAAAATCGGTAAATTTACCCCGGAAGATATCCTTCCAGATCTATGCACTCACATCATCTTCGCCTTTGGTTGGTTGAAGAAAGGAAAGTTGTCTTCGTTTGAAAGTAACGATGAGACGAAAGATGGGAAAGTTGGATTGTACGAGAGGATACATAAGCTGAAGAAAGCCAATCCTCATTTGAAGACTCTCCTGGCTATTGGTGAGTATTAGCAATAACAATATTGTTAATGTTGTACCTACCTTAAACTTTTCTTCAAGGTGGTTGGTCGTTTGGTACTCAGAAGTTCAAGGATATGTCAGCAACGAGATACACAAGGCAAACCTTCATCTACAGCGCTATTCCATATTTGAGGCAAAGGGGATTTGATGGTTTGGATATGGACTGGGAGTACCCCAAGGGGTCTGACGACAAGAAGAACTTTGTTTTGCTGCTTAAAGGTATTTTTTAATTGATTTTCGTCGTTGTGCCTTAAACGAACCATTATTACCCTTCCCAATTGAAGAACTAGTCCTTGGAAGTACCATTTAACATGTATTACATACTTTACTTAATTTATTTTCGTGTTATTTACAGACTTTTACTCAAGGTTTCACAATTTCATAAGTAATTTCTCACAATCAAGTTCTATGAATTTAATTAAGCAGTTTTACCTGATTGCAAATTAAAAGTGTTTCCTAATACCTCTTCATGTACCTAAATGAGTTATTATTTGTTCAAAACGTTCTCACAGGCTTTTTTTACTGAAATAAAGATTTCCCACATTCCATCCACTTTAAACTTCTGAATGAGAAATTGGAGCTCTTTGATGTGAACATATGAAAACTAATGAGTTGATGGTGATTATGGTTATATGTTCAGTGTTTGTTTTATTCTTTACCTATTGATATTTTCGCAATAAAATACGATTAAGAGAAAGCAGAATAACTCTCTCTTTGAGTACGAGACGTTGGTAAATACGCATAGTATATTCAATAATAAAATCTTCTTCATCTGTAGCTGTTAGTGCAGAAAGTCCATTGATAAAGCACACAAAAAAAGGAATATAAATTCTGTTAACAGTACTTTGAGACATGCTGTCGAAACATCACGTTTTAAATCACACGAAACCAGTTTTCTAATGTTGTGACGAATCTATCGACGATAATGGTCTGTTGCACTAATGGATTCATATCGTGATGCATATAATCTACCACATTAAGACAGCTATACTCTTAGTTGCCATTTAGGTCGAAGAAAGTTGCGGGAAAACACTTAGGTATTGTGCGCGTATGTTTTTACTTTAAATACTAGCATTAAGACACCTATACTTTCATGTCTGGAGATATCTTCTTATTACAGCCTTAGAAAACAACCATAAAAATTATTTGACATGATAGAGGCTAATTATCGTTCGAAAGAGTATTTCGAATTTCACTGCAACTAAAGAAACATATGCAAAGGTGATCCTTATAGAACATATGTACAGGGTCTTTCATTTTAAAAACAAAAAGAATGTTTGATAGAGAAACTGTTTTTGAGATGCTTTCCACTACGTCTATGTTTGTGTCGGTTCCATCTTTGAAGAGATTTGACCAAAATCTTCTCTGTTAGGTCTTAGAATACCCTCTCTCTTAATCCTGTGTTTAGCAACTGCTGATTTATCAGCGTTATGTGTTCTTTCAACCACGTGGTGCCTTCCTCTTTGTCCAATATGTAAGAGATGCTGGTACTGATATACAGTTTTCTCTTTTGAACGAACACAAAGATTGTTTCTGTAAAATACTGAGACAATGTACATTAACACGCATTTGTTTTAGAACTACGCGAAGCCTTCGAAGCAGAGGCCCAAGAGATAAAAAAGAACCGGCTTCTCCTTTCTGCCGCCGTCCCCGTAGGTCCAGACAACATCAAAGGCGGTTACGACGTACCAGCAGTGGCCTCCTACCTCGACTTCATCAACCTCATGGCTTACGACTTCCACGGAAAATGGGAACGAGAAACCGGCCATAACGCTCCTCTTCATTCCCCCAGCAGCGACAGCCAGTGGCAGAAACAGCTGAACATCGAGCACGCCGCTAGTTTGTGGGTGAAACTGGGTGCACCCAAGGAGAAGATGGTCATCGGTATGCCTACCTACGGTCGGTCCTTCACGCTGTCTGATACTAGCAAGCATGGAGTCCACGCTCCGGCTAGTGGTGGTGGTAAGGAAGGGACCTACACCAAGGAGTCTGGGTTCTTGGCGTACTACGAGGTATGTATCTCAAGAAGTGTATTAAATCCTTACCATTTGGTGGTTATTTCTACCATAGATCTGTGAAATGCTTCAAAACGGAGCAACTTATTATTGGGATGAAGAGATGAAGGTACCGTACCTCGTGGATGGAGATCAATGGGTAGGATTCGATGATGAGAAGTCTATCAGGCTCAAGATGAAGTGGGTTAAAGATAATGGATATGCTGGGGCTATGGTGTGGACTGTTGATATGGACGATTTCACGGGGACAGTTTGTGGAGGCAGTGTCAAATATCCTTTGATTGGGGCTATGAGGTAAGTAGTTAGTAACTCTTCAGTAGTTGATTGAATAGTTATTTCCTTCTTCTATTATATCAATAACTCATAATACTTGTAGAGTTCAAATTTGAGTATAGCCTTTTTATTAGTATTTGAAGGTATTTTCATACTCGTAATATTTTAAAACTCCTTAGTTCTTTCTTTGGTAACTGTATTTACTCTTCCTTTAGTAGATCACACATTACAAAATTGGAATATTGTAGAATACGTAGATATTTTCATTGTGGTGAAAATCCTCCATTAAATCATTAACTTATCTTTTCTTTTTTCATTTATAGTTCGTACCAGTTTCAGATAGTGCATGATTAGTAGTTTCCTTCCACTTCCTGCAGACTTTTCTATTAACTTTATTTACTGTTTCATCATAGTTCTTCCAATAAGTAATATTTTACTTCGCTCTTGACCTCTTTCTTTACTTCCCCCCTGTTATCAGTAGTTCTCCTTTCTTCTTGTACCTTTCTTTCTAACAGAGAGGAACTGAGAGGTATATCCAGAGGCAAGGACGCCAAAGACATGGACTGGCAGAAGATCGCTGGACCCTCCGAGTCCGAGGAAGAGGAAGAAGAAGAGGAAAAAGAGAAACCTGCTCCGATAAAGATTGCCGTGTCTGAAGTATTGAAAAGAGCGAGAAAACCTACCAACAAGAAGAGCGTTAGTCCGAAGAGAGTGAGCAAGAAAGGTAAGAAAGGAAGAAACGTTAATTATAGATTCTGTAACTAATGGGTCTAATATTAAACCTTGAGGCATCCTAAGAAGTGTATAGCGGATTTTAAAATTTATTTTGCGTCAGCGACAAATATATTTTAACAATTAATTTGGGATTGAATTTGATAGTTTTAAACAGTTTGTAAGCTGGTTGGCAAGGTCAAGTACGATGCAGTTGTTTATTAATATCTTTCGTCGGGGGTTTTTCTAGAAACTGGTCCAGTATATTTGGCACCTAAACCAGAAATAGACCATGACATTTAGCAAAACGAATGAGAATAATTTATATAACACAACAAACTGCAATGACTTCAGAGCTCCGTTAAATGTCATCATGTCGATAATATATAGAGGGTTCAAGTTTCCGACCATTAATCATATTCAGATGAATATTGAGTAATTTTTGACTACATAGTGTCACAAATATAGGATTATTAAAAATAAAAAATAATAAATTTGTATTCACACGACATTATTTTAGTTATTTTTTTAACTACCACTGAAGTAAATAATACAATTTGAAGTAGTTATAAAATATTTTTTTACACAAAAAGGGATGCAAATCATCCCTTACTATGTCAAATCTAAATAATTTGGTTTTGATGAACAGGGTCGGTGAAGTTACATTTTACAATGTCCAGCACATCTATCGGAGCCGGTCCTGGACATCTGTATCCGTCTTTTTTATCGGACCAAATCAAGATACGTTTTTTTTTGTATCGCAATTGCAACACCGCCAAACATTGCTTTGTTCTGTTATGAAACAGCTCTATCTAATACGGGCTGAAGGAAGTTTACATTAATGAATTCAGCTCTTTCAAGGTCAGTCGCTGGCAGACTGATCTAGTTACCATCGCACTCCTTTTACTCGATAAAAAATGAGATCGCAGGTGATATAACATACCTCGATATGTGGCGGATTGGTTTTTTAACGGTGTATGAAATATTATTTGCAAATACGAGTTTATAGAATTTTAATAGTTTTGTTACAATTGTTAGTCATCGTCATTAGAACTAGTTTTGTTTTAAATAAATAGTAATTTCCTTTTCCAAACATCACTTTATCACTATTTTTTTTGCAGTGTATATAATTTGCAATATTTTTAAGTCAAAATTAAAAAATACGGATCTCATATTTTCTAACCTATTTTCATTTCATGATGTTAAAAAGTTAAAAAACACCCTACTATACAAGGTGATGTGATTTCCAAACGGTGACCAAAAGTAAAACCTCGTATTCTTTGGTGAATTTTAAGGGGAGCCTTTCGTATAAAGTGTTTATCTAGGAAGCTTCCTTAAAAACATACAGTGTTAAACTTAAAAAAAAAAAAATTAAAAAAAAAAATTTATGTAGGTACTTAAAAAAAATTAAAAATATTTTTTGAAGTTTAACACCCTGTATCTTTTAACAAAGCGTTCTAGACAAAAAATTTATAAAAAAAGACCCCTTAAAACTCACCAAAGAACAGAAGTTTCATTTTTGGTCACCATTTGTAAATCACCTTGTATAAATCAAGTCTAACGATGTTGCTATCCGTGTGATTAATTTCTTGTTGTATTTATTGCTTCCCGAACTATACTGTTTCTGCAAATGATCAGTCGGCAGTAGTTGAGATGTTAATTGTAGTCATTAGCTTTAGTTTCCCAACGGATTAGAAAGTGATCGTGTGTTTTGATTGTTTATTGAATGTTTATCATAATGTGAATATAGCGACATGTTGCTAATTTATGGAATAACAAATTGCAATTCCTATGAAGCACGACATATTTATAAAAGCCGGATGCATATTTACCACACACTAGATCATTTGTCGCACTATCCCTGAGTATTTTAGATACTGGTAGTGTTATTCCTTGCCTTGAATGACAACTATAATAATAAATATCCGTGCAGATGGAAGACTAGATGTTAAATACAAGAAAAAAAGGTTGTAACTCGAAAACCAGTCAGTTTAGGACATGAGTAGTCCCCACTAGAATTAATTCATGGTGTCATTGACCCCGCTTCCAGTCAGAACAGTTATTGTCGATCCGACACCAGTTATTATCAGTTTTACCATGTTTCCTTTCAAAAGAACAGGTGGGTTATTCAATACAACGCACTAGAATTGTTGGGCAGTGTGCCAGAGCAATAATTGAACACCACTTTCCTTTTACTGCTAACCCAGAATTACGCAACACGTTGTATAATAGAAGCGGCCATTCAATAAAATTAGAGTAGAGACTGGCCGAATGTTGGTTGTAATTCTTCGATCGGGATTGTGTCTGAGATTACGTAACGCCCAGGTGACTGGGTTACATGAATGGCCGGTCGTACTGGTTTTGATTTTTTAGGTAGGTGTTTCTAACACGCTGACAAAACGTATTACTTCGCCCTGGGACGTATTTGCCGATATTGATTCGTGTATCTGTCTTGTATGGAAGAAGTTTGACGTACTGTGGTTCGGTCTCCCGAATAAATTTGGATGGATCAGGAAAAGAGTACGAAATGATTGGACAGAAGTGTAAGAGCAACATCAAACAAGCCTGGTTCGAGTCAATCGAATTTATTTTGGAAGTAATTTATATCTATGGCATTTATTCAAGATTTTTTGGGATTCACGATTTCCATTTTTTTTTTGAGATGTGATTATTCATGGAATTCATTCAATTACTTCTCTGGTAAACATAATAAGATAAAAAAAATTACTGTTTTCGATAGCAAATTACTAACAACATACACTTCTATTAAGAAATTTTGTTATTTTCTTGAAACCAGAGAATTTGGAACGTTTGCAGACCACAAACTTTGAACAACAACCTCTTAAGATATAATAAGGAGAAACTCCGCGTCAAAATCATCAATTAGATTATATTTCACAATTTAATACTGAAATTATTCATATTAGTGGAAATAGTCCGGTCAAAATAGACATATCATATAACAAAAATTCCGACAGACCTAAATTTTGGTGGAGACGTTGGGTACACCATTAGAAATAAAGTGTCAAAAGTTCCCATCGATCCCATGTGTGCTAAAAAAGTTATTCGGGGTCAAAGATCAAAATTTGAGGTTTTTTGGATTTTTTTCGAAAACGGTAAGTTTTATCAAAAAAGGAGTCTTCACAAAAATTATAGATCTTAAAATTATCTACAAAAAAGGTATTTATACTTTTTTTGTAAGAATCACCATTCCTGAGATATCGCGATTCTAATAGTTGAAGGAGTCACGTTCTACATGATATGCACACATTTCCACACCACCTGTGAGGTAGTGTACTTTGGCGCGTTTTTTTTAACGTGGTTTCCCCGGTAGACCTACTCCACGAACTGTTATGACGGAATTTTCAGGAACAATACTGTTTTATCTGCATGATGATTATTGATATTGATATTGGTTATTGACTTTAACTGTACTTCTAATTTCTTTAGATATTTTAATCTGATTCATATTCTTCAAAGTCGACTTCAACAGTCATGTCTTCTTCGATTTTTTCTTCTTCTTCTTCCTCTTCTTCTTGCTAGATGTTCATAAATTGTTCAAATGAAGATGAATCAGATGTCTTTTCATCGAAATCACATGAATCTTCGTCTGTTGTATTCAATTGGACATTTGAGCAAGACTGGCTTTGGCAATTAGTACACGCTGGAGAACACAGTAACCCTACTCTTCTACAGCCACATTTAGCACTACAACCTTTTTTGCAATTGCAAAAAATAGTGTTTAGGAGTTTTTCCGGAGCAGGTGGGAGTAAAGTTTGACTCGGTTCCAAAGTATTATCTGTGAATTTCCAACCCCAGTCTTCTGGGTTCAGTCGATTGCCTAGCCATGTCTGAACTTGATAGTATACTCGATACAAGTTTTGATTAGCAGAAGCCGATGTTGGAGGAAGACAAGGTAGTTGTACTTGTTTCTTGTTTCTTGTATTTTTTACAGAAGTTTTACAATAGAGTAGCCAGATGTTATTCAAGGCCATTCGTGTAGAGGGGATTGACTAAGGGACTGACTTTCTTTTGAGTGTATATTCTCAGAATAGTATAGTTTATACATATGAGAGACACAAATAGGCATTTTTACTTGCATTAAGTGCCTGACTATGTATATACGTGGCATATATGTATGTGCATATCATGTAGAACGTGACCCCTTCAACTTTTAGAATCGTAATATCTCAGGAATGGTGATTCTTAGAAAAAAAAGTATAAGTATTTTTGTAGATAATTTTAAGATCTATAATTTTTGTCAAGGCTACTTTTTTGATAAAACTTTCGAAAAAAAAAAATCCTCAAATTTTGACCTTTGACCCTGAATAACTTTTTTAGCACACAAGGGATCGATGGGGACTTTTGACACTTTATTTCTAATGGTGTACCCTAGGTCTCCATAAAAAATTAGCTCTGTCGGAATTTTCGTTATTTGACCACTATTTTTATGACTAATTTGACTGGACTAAAAGAGCAATGTTAACCTTGATCAAATTCAGTGGTAATTTGTTCATATATTTAAATGTTTCATAAAAAACCATCGTTACATAACTATATTTATCAGAACTAAGTAAAATTTTTGCACAGAAGGTACCTGCCCTACTATTAAGGGCTTCTGTTTTTGTCGCTCCTATTGTAGACTCTCTTCCTGATCAGCTCATCTTCTGAACAAGTTGGGTCAAGCTGTAGGCACTGATACCTTTTCGTGGATTAATGACTTATTTTATTCATGTACGAGAGTAGCTTTAAGTTATTTTATACAGCTATAAATTATTACCGAGTGAATATTCATCATATGGAATACCACCCACTATTAAGACTTCGTATTGCAATCTCACTCAACGTTTATTTTATCGGTATAGCTCCAACGCAGCTTAAAATGCATTAGAAAGCTAACTTACGGGTATCTGCTATGTTAATTATTAGGTAAACAACTAGAACAACTTGTAAACCAGGTACTTGTAAAAGAAAAAGATACACGACATTTACTATAACGCTTGAATAGATCGCCTCTAGGTTCGCGTCAATTTGTAAGTTATTACTTACGGTTTTTGTTGGTACAATTGTCAAAAATGGGACAGAAAGCAATCAATATTTGTGTGTTACGCTTGAATACACATTTTTTTTTTGTATTAGGTAATGTGTTACAGAGTTACACAACATACAGTTTTGTGAAAAAGAAAGTGAAATCAGATTGTGGTCGAAACTGGGAAAAAAAATCTGTTAGACAATTATAACAATTCTTAGGAAAGTGTGAATTGAACTGTAAGTTACTAGTTGAAAGTCCTTGTCATAATTGGAGACTTAAAACAAGAAATGGTTTTAAAAGGTCACTTTGTCTAAATGAATAAACATCCTCAGTTTCATTCTTTAGAAAATTATTATTGGGAGAATGAGCGTTTCATATTTTCCTCATATTTACATTTTTAGGATGACTTTCGTCTCCACAAACGACTTTATACACATAAACTATCTGATTTATAATAAAACAAAATAAAAAAGTAAAGGGGAATAGATTTTGGAATATCGCCCAAACTTACTGACCATTAGCAAGACATTTATGCATCTCATTTTCAGTTCGACCGCCACAAGTCTTCTGCTACATGACCAGCTGGTCCCAGAAACGCCCATCAGCAGGAAAATTCTCCCCAGAAGACATAAACCCCAACCTATGCACCCATATTGTTTACGCTTTCGCCACCTTGACGGAACACAAGTTGGCAGAAGCCAGCAAAAAGGACCCGGATATGTACGAGCGGGTGGTTGCTCTCAGAGAAAAGAACGAAGATCTGAAGGTAAGGTAGTGAGCTATAAAAAGTTCGTATTTGAAATTTTTCCTTTCAGGTACTTCTAGCTATCGGAGGATGGGCATTTGGTTCCACTCCCTTCAAAGAATTGACCAGCAACGTCTTCAGGATGAACCAGTTCGTGTACGACGCTATCGACTTCCTCAGGGAGTTCAAATTCAATGGGTTGGATGTGGACTGGGAATACCCTAGAGGTGCTGATGACAGAGCTGCTTACGTCAACCTCCTCAAAGAGCTGCGCCTTGCTTTTGAAGGTGAAGCTAAAAGCAGTGGCCAACCGCGTTTGCTACTGACAGCTGCTGTCCCAGCTTCGTTCGAGGCCATAGCAGCTGGTTACGACGTACCTGAAATAGCCAAGTACCTAGATTTTATAAACGTCATGACTTACGACTTCCATGGTCAGTGGGAGAGGACTGTTGGACATAATTCGCCTTTGTTCCCATTAGAAAGTGCCACCAGTTACCAGAAGAAACTCACAGTGGTAAGTTGTCGTCAAATTTAAGGTGTTAGAAGGAAGATAATCGCTTTTCTTTCAGGATTACTCTGCGCGGGAATGGGTAAAACAGGGAGCCCCTAAAGAAAAACTCATGATTGGAATGCCGACCTATGGTCGCAGTTTCGAACTGGTCAACGTCACCCAGTTCGATATTGGAGCTCCTGCAAGTGGTGGTGGAACTCCGGGAAAGTACACTGCAGAAGCTGGATTCATGAGTTTCTATGAGGTCTGTGAGTTCTTACACGAAGATAACACCACACTGGTGTGGGACAACGAGCAGCAAGTACCCTTCGCTTATAGAGGGAACCAGTGGATTGGTTTTGATGATGAGAGGAGTTTGAAGACAAAGGTAACATAACTCCAGGACTTTGTTCTATTACCATTTATAACGAAATTTGATTTTTTAATACGTTATTTTTTTACAGATGGCCTGGTTGATGGAAGAAGGTTTCGGTGGCATCATGATCTGGTCCGTTGATATGGACGACTTCAGAGGATCTTGTGGTAGCGGAAAATACCCCTTGATCAACGCCATGAGGCAAGAACTGGAAGGCTATAAAGTCAAATTGGAATACAGTGGACCATATGAAACTACCATCAGTTCTGGGCAATACACTACAAAGAATCGTAAGTCGTTGTCGACAAGCAACATTTGCATATCAATATAATTTTTTTTCTTCAGCTAATGAGGTGACTTGCGATGAAGAAGACGGTCACATCAGTTATCACCCAGACAAAGCAGATTGTAAGATGTACTATATGTGTGAGGGAGAGAGAAAACACCACATGCCCTGTCCCACGAATCTGGTCTTCAATCCAGACCAGAACGTGTGTGATTGGCCTGAAAACGTAGAGGGGTGTATGCAGTTCACACCAGCGCCCCCACCAAGTCGATAATCTACTGATTTAAGAGTGTAGAGATTGTAAAAGTAGAGTGAATACTTTGTAAAATAATCCAACGTTGGAAGGTACAATTTTACGCACATAACTTTCTGTAATAGGTTTATCCCACTCCTGATTTTGCAATATTAGTTATGATTATTCTGCGGGAATCATCACAAATTCTACTTAGGAAAATTGTACCGCCTACTGAGATTATTTTCAAAAGTGCTGATACCTGCTATTTAACTTTTTTGTACACGGTTGTGAAATTTGAATTCTTTATTCGTTTTAGTACAAAAAGGTTGGCAACTGTACATAGTGACGTCTTATTTCATTTGAATCATGAGGAAGGTCTAAAAACGGATGTAATGTAACAAACACTGCTGTAAATTTTTAGCACTGCCATAAAAAGACATATTTTTGTATAATTTTACCTGGAACTTTTAAATTGTGTAATTTAGTCGATGCCGAAAGGTATTTTTCGCTTTAAAGTCCCAGTTAACCTTATTGGTTAGGTTGTCGTAATTATAAATTATATTAGCTTTAAGGAAAAGCATATTTTTATATTATACATTTTGTATATTATATATTTTATATGTGTAGTTAGGAATATTTTGTAAATAGGTATTAATATTTAAATAAAAACTAAAACAAGATGATTGGCTATTTTCATTTATTTACTTTTAGTTCTCATTTATTGGTCCACAACCAGTAATACATTGCCTGACATTTTCCACAAAGAAAAAATGAAACGACAGCAAACCAACAGGATGTAAACAATACAATGGCCTTGCTGTTAAAAATGTTGTCACCGCCGTTGGTGAAAATTCGAAATATTTGGAATTATTATTCAATTTTCGTAACTAAAAACATACATACATAGGTATTAAATTCTCGAAACCGAGAGAGTTGCACTAACCAAATTTGGACAAGACATAGACAATACAACGCGAAACATCGCCCTTAATGTTAAAATGTTGTCACCGCTGTTCTTGGTGGTGAAAATTCGAAATATTTGGAATTATTCAATTTTCGTGGCAGAAAACATACATACATACATAGGTATTAAATTCTCGACACCGAGAGAGTTGCACTAACCAAATTTGGACAGGACATAGACAATACAACGCGAAACATCTCTTTAATGTTAAAAATGTTGTCACCGCCGTTCTTGGTGGTGAAAATTCGAAATATTTGAAATTATTCAATTTTCGTGGCTGAAAATATACATACTTAGGTATTAAATTCGCGAAACCGAGAGAGTTGCACCAACCAAATTTGGATAGGACATAGACAATACAATGCAAAACATCGCCTTAATGTTAAAAATGTTGTCACCGCCGTTGTTGGTGGTGAAAACTCGAAATATTTGGAATTATTCAATTTTCGCGGCTGAAAACATACATAGGTACATATGTATTAAATTTTCGAAACCGAGAGAGTTGCACAGACCAAATTTGGACAAGACATAGACAATGCAACGCGAAACATCGCCTTAATGTTAAAAATGTTGTCACCGCCGTTCTTGGTAGTGAAAATTCGAAATAATTGGAAATATTCAATTTTCGTGGCTGAAAGCATACAAACATAGGTATTAAATTTTCGAAACCGAGAGAGTTACACTAATATGATTTTTTGTAAAGGACTGTTGAGACTGAATCAAGAGATCAAGAGTATAACTTTTGAAGCCTGATACTAGATTGTATTTTCTTTAACCATATTTAATATAAAGAGTGTCCGGAAAGGTCATGTCAGAAATTAAGGGGTATACAGGAGAGATCAAAATTGATGTAGCACTTCGTATAAAATTTTTTCCTATAGGGCTTCGTTGTGGAGTTATTCGCTTTCAAAGAAAGAAGTTTGAAAAACAAATTAAAATTATAACTGCTAAGTCGTTACCATGACAACAATGAAATTTGAGCAATGATGACATAACCTTTCCGGACACCATATATGATAATATCATTAACAGTAGATTATTTGGTAGATTTTGGTGGAAAAGAAGAAAAAGGAGTTCACTTTATGACATTTTGTACTGGTATTGTTTCACATTTTAATTTTGTTGTGGTAAAGATACAATTTTGGGGTCCATTAATAAGCATATTTGCATAAATTTCTTTAGTAGTTGTCATAATGGTAGAGAAAAATGATTGAATGAATGAGGATTGAATTTGTCTATGTATTTCATATCTTGTTGCAATGTTGCTTGGTAGGTTTTGTTGAAGAAGAGAAAAACAAGGTTTACTTTTATAAAGATTTTTTCATCTTCTATAAAGAACTATCTCAACTAGAGTTTTCCTTCACTTAAAGAAAACAAACCGATAGTGATCTGGAAAATTAAAAAGCAAACGCCTTGAACTATACAACACTAGATAGAACCCAAGTAAGTTGGAGTAGTTTACAGTAATAAAGTTTTCAATGAAATGAAATGAAACAGACTGTGTTTCAAAAAGTGTACTTAAAACTAGACATAATGGACGTCGTAGAATTTTAAGAAAAAATAAGTATATAAATTGTACAATATTTTAATAATAATCTGGAGAAAGTATCAGAAGGTGAATGGCAAAAAATAAAACCAAAATTTATCCATACTTTGTAATTAGGAGATGGAGAAAGACGTTTGGAGTTTTGTTAATGGCTATAGGGAGAATATTCCAATAATCCTAAATTTCTAAGTGAAATTTTATTTAGTGATGAGGTCACCTTTATTACAAATGGGGTAGTTTCGTCCCAAAATTGTCGCCATTGGTCAGAATCTAGAATTCATTATAAACGGAATGAGGCAGTATTCGCAAAAAGTTAAGGATTGGCGTGGAATACTAAATAATGGAATAATTAGCCCTTTGCTTTTTGATGGCAATTTGAATGCGAATAGATTTGATGCATTTGATGTTTTACCTTTAAGAGATCTTCTTAATTTGAAGTTTCAATTAGATGGTTGCCCTATTCATAACGCTGCTGCGGTGAGAGCATGGTTAAACGAACATTTTGAGAATTGTTGGGTAGCACGAAATAGTCCTTTAATTGAGTGGCCACCGAGATCTCCGGATTTGATGCCATTAGATATTTTTTGGAGGGGTTTATTGAAACAAAATGTTTATAAATCAAGCATGTGCAGAAATTACTCCAAACCAAACACAAAAAGTAATTATGAATGTACGTAAAAGAATTGAGAAGTGCATAGAAGTAAATGGTGGAAGTGACAACAATATAATTATTTGAATTTTGTTGGTTTCAGATTCATTATTTTATTTTTAAATTTGTCAAAACTACGATTATTAATAATTATTATAATACCATATTACTAGAGTTTAATTAATTTCCTTTTTTTGTTTTTGTTTTACTTTCTGGACAACTTGATATCAACTATAAATTAATAAAAAAAAGTAAAGACTTGTGAATTCTTGATTTGGCTTCAAAATCGTTATTATTTAAAAAATTTTGATATAATTTGGTACTGCCCTATTTTGGGGGGTCGTGAATCCAGTGGAGTAAATATATTTTTTCTAAAAAAATCTATAATACGAAATATTAGAATTTTCCTCCAAAAAACGGACGTAGTAGGCTTTGGATTTTGTGGGACCACATTCATCAAGCACTACATCTTAAAAAAAATCCGGTTAAAATCGCACAATAAATAAAAACTTTACGGTGACTTAAAACAAATGGGTCACACTGTAGATAGAAACAAAACGAAAATAAAACATAACCTCACCAAATTTATTTGTAAAATGCTTCAAATGGGATAATAATTTTTGGAATTGAAGAATTATAATTCGTACAGAGAAAGTATTATCCTAAATCAGCGTCAAATTTCACACTACTCCTCCACAAAGACAAAAGGATTCTCTTGATGTCACTTTCTTCATTTACCACCTTTAGAAGCGTTCACTTTTACAATTTCCCCAAGTTTTTTCCTTGAAATCCAATTCAATATCTCATTAAGGAGTAAATCATCGAGCCTTTGAAATTAATAGCAATAAATTTTTAATTTACATGCTCATTTTCAGCTTTCGACTGTTTATAATTAGTAATTATAAGCGAATTTATATTTTCGCTTTAAATGTCAGGCTGGTAATTAATTGCGCAATAGCGTTCATGTTTGGCATTTCTTTCAACCAGCTTAGGTGCGCTGTTAAAGGTAAACAACAGTTACCCAATAAAAATGGATTCGGTGCCCTTCTCAGCAATAGGAATGGTGTTATAATAATAATTAAGTGACTATTTATATTTGTATTTTGCTATAAATAGTAATGACAATAATAGAAATAACAATATTAATAAAATTGTAAATAATGCTACAAGGTAAAAATATTGAAAATAGTTGGATAGGTCTCTTTCTCTTAACTTTGAATAAGAAACTGAATAAGAATGTTTTTCATTTTCTTTGTTCTGGGGTTCTGAGAGGTGATATTTCCCACTCATAATTATATTTTTTCTTTATTATAGAAGTATGTATCAAGCTAATTCAAATAAATTAAAACAATTTTTTTCTCGAATAATCATCAAACGAAGTTCTTAGATACCAGAAATCTAGGAATGCAGACAAGATTCGTAACCATTGATATTGAAGGAAACAGCTACTCTATGGGCTATGAATTACACCAACAATACCTGGTAAACAATGAGTAATAATCAATAATAATAATCAAAACTCATACTTACTTGATTTATTGAAATTGTTAAATAATGTAATCATTAAAAAAATATCTTGTATTTTTAATATATTTCTATCAGATTTTTATTTGCTGTGTTCAGTTTATTATCCCAGTTTGTAGAATATAAGGGCTATAAGTCAAAAATGTATATCGCCAAATCAGGAGCACTACAAGGATCAAATTTAAGGCCGCTTTTATTTTTAATATGCATTAATGACGTTACATCAGATATAATTTCCCAAAAAATGTAAATTGCTGATGATTTGAAAATATTTAGTAGTGTTACAGAGAATAATTGTTTAACACTTCAAGATGATCGAAATCAACAACACGGCTATTGAACGTTGTTCAGGTTATAAAGGTTTAAGAATATTATTTAATTGTAAGCTAGCATTTACAAGCCATTTTAATAATGTGGTAGCTTCGGCTTCCGAAACTTTTGGATTTTTTATTAGAAACATGAGCGATTTTTCGAGAATGCTGCACGATATCCAAAAAATCGAAGACCTTCATGAAATACATGAAGGCAATTGGTGGACAATCTTAAAAGTTTACGCTGTGTAAGACTAATATAAAATTAAAAGGTACCTATTGTTTATTATGAAAATACGGAAGTAGCTATAGTAGGTTTCTTTGCTACATTTTGAGTCATAACTCCTTACTAATATTAAACTAACAAACCCATATGTATAATGGGACAGATGTCAAGTTATTTTAATTATTGTTTTTGGAGTGTTTCTGGTCATTGCCAATTTGATAACAGATACGAGAAAGACTGTCCAAAAGACAGAAAATTGCAAATATCTCTAAAAATTTTAATAGCAATCCTAACAATACTAACACGGCTTGAAAGGAAATTTCAATCTGCATACGACAGAGTAAAAAAATACGGGGTGTTCTATTTAAGTTAACAAAGTTATTAAAATGTAACAGCAAAAATTACA